ACCTAGCATTGTGCTGCTTCCTGAAAAGAGGATAGAAGGAATCCGCTGTGATCTATGGGCCGTAGAACCTCGTGCTATCGAATGGTGCCTAAGACCTCCGATACACGGCAGAGACTGTCGGCCGTCATCGTTTTCACCCTCGCCCGTCCGCCCGTCAATGTCGATCGTCCGCGGAACCAATCGCGTGAAAAGGATTTCACAGAAAATTCAAACACGAAGAACGTTGACGGTTTATGGCTATTCGGACCGTTTAACCAGCGATGAGTATTCTGCCACTCTCAAATTCTCTTATTTTTCGGCGACCGTATTTGTTAAAACCGCGCTTAAGTTGCGCGCGAATGGATATCTTACAGATACATTTCGATGTATAATTATTTATTTAAGCGTGCAATTTAGAAAATGACAAATACCTTATTACTTTTTTCCCTTCGAATCAGACGGAAAGTTTCAGATCTTTGTTTTTCATTATTTTTTATTAACATAAACCGTTCTTTATCTCGCTTATTTACACATGGTCGTTCGTGCGACCACATATATATTGGAAAGAAAGGAAAAGAGGAGGATATCGCTAACGCTGTTATAAACTAATCGTTTTGTCAAACTATGTGATAGATTAAGAATATTCGTATGAATGCCAATTTAACACTAGTTTTATGCATTCCTAATAGCATGCCTTTCTAATATTCTGTGATAAAGTTTGATGCGGTACTTTGACGGGTGAATAACCGTGGTACGAGCGATGGCAGGCCGAGACGATCATTATGAGTAGTTGATGGGCAGGATCACGCCTGGTTTACAAACTATATGACTATCACGGGGAAAGATATAATGGAGCGGTTGCGACCGCCTCAAAGATCCGTCCGCGTCGTTGTTGCTTCATCGGAATACTAGATCGTAATAAATCCAGGTGGTAAATGTGTCGATGGCGAGGTTACGTGGTGCGTGATAGGTGGTAACTGCCGACTGGATGACCTGATGATTTGTAACTGGTAGCCCACCGCTCTCGGCTAATCCCACAAAGCGAGCCGAACCTTAGAAATTTCTGGACAATTTATTCCGTGGCATGCGACGTGTAAAAAGGACATCGTTTCGTGTGACCAGTGTTGCGAGATGAACTGCTCGTGGGGTCTAATTGTAAGAGCTAAGTGAGGAAGCTTGAAACACGAATATGGAATTGAATGTAGCACTCTAATTTTATTGATTGATTAGAGTGTAATGTCTTAAAATTGTTTAGATAATATTTTTTTGCGATAAATTAATTCAAGAAAAATGGTTTGCAAACTCACAATGCTTCGAGTGTTTAAAGCAAACGACTGAGCTTGCATTCAGTGGACGAAGTATTTTTTTCTCTTTAAAGATAGAAGTAATTTAACAAATAAAGAATCACTTCGCGAAGTATGATACATGCGAAGGCACAAAGGCTAAAGCCACCCGCGAAATCGACGTTCATTTATGTACCGCTCGCGGATGCGTCCCTGGCGTTAGCGCCGTCTCCGTCTTCGTTGTTGCCTCCGTCTTCTTCGCCATTCCTTCTTTTTTACTCCTTCGCCATCTCTCTCTCCCTCGCATCTCAATCTAGACCTCTCATCATGTTTTAATTTCACGGCCGGCTTTCCCCTCGCTCTGGATCCCTTCCGCGCTGCCAGCAGCCGGCGGTACCAGATAGAGAGATGGAGAACAAGGGCGAGAGGGAGAGTGGGAAAAAGATGGAGGACGAACTCTCGCTGGTAACGAAGACGGGATGTAAAGAAGCACATGCGCAAGGGAGACGGGATGTTTAGCTCCACTGGGGGAGAACTCGCATCCAGGGGGGCGTCACCCTGATCTCCCTTCCTTACCGACGGAGGAACTCCCTTTATCCAAACGTCGATGACTCGGCGGAAGCGGCTGGGTGCCGCGAGACCGGGGTAAAATGTCTTGAAGAGGGGAACCAACGATCCGAGTGGTAGCAGCGTTGGTTCACGCACGCCGCGAAAAGTTTCCCCCACTATTTCGCCCTCGACGTGTGCTTCTATTGTAGTATGCTTGCATACATTTTCTTTTGGTTATCCAAAGGGCCGCGATAAAATGGCGTAAAAGGGCCACTTTGGCAATCGAGATGAGAGGCTACAAAAATTTTGATTAATCTCCAAATTGATGTGTAAATCTTAACGACTCATTTTAACATTTTCTATTTTATTTTATTTTAATATCATTACACGCGCTTCATCAATCTTTACATGATTATACGATTGACTGAAACTACTGTGCGAAATGTGTCTGTTTTTAATTTTGCTTACAAACCAAATTTCTCGCTTTTAACGTGCAGACCGGTTTTTAAATATCAAGGAGGATGTGAAATCTGAAGGAATATTATTATCTGTACTACTTTTCAATCTGTCTCGAATTTTCTGATTTATTTCATACAATTCTTAATTTCTAGATACACGAAAAGAATTTTTTTAATGATGCAATATTTATTCTTTATGATATTTTTTCAACATTTTCTATAAGACAGTTTTCTTTTCCTAGGTAATTTTTAGAAAAACTGTGAAGCGCTATCTTTTGATAATATTTAATTTTAAACCATCGAAATTATACTTCTTTTATTGAATTTCTGCAAAATCTAGAAAATCGTGTACAAGTTAAATTGCATTAACAAACACGACTTAATTAGTACTCCTAGTTAAATTGTTAATCTCAGAAATAACAGTCTGATAAGCTTTTCTTTTCTAAAGTGAATGGTAGATGCATGTCTCGCTTACCTGTTTTGTTGGCGAGTCAGCAAAAACGTATTACTCTATCAGAGGATTCTTAAACGCAGGCGCGAAGCGATTATCTCACGACAGTGTGTCGCAAAAGCTTCACGGTTGACGGACTTTGTGAGAATGACGAATAATAAGGGTTCGCGCTAAGAATTAAGTCATTTCAGGTTGTTGCATGGTAAAGAATTCTTTTTGTCTTGTTATATCTAACATTTAAAAGTCACACTTGTACTTTTCCGAGCATTTAATTATTATTTCATTTGTACGCTGAAGTATAATATTCCACTCTAGCGTAGCGTAAACTGTATCGAATTAAACTCGAGGTTTTTAACTTTTATCGCCTCGAAACATCGTGATTTCTTAAAATCTTTTTTAAATTTCTATATATATATATATATCTTTATAATATATACAACTTTATTGATTGATGACTGGAAGAAATCTTATAAGTCGCCAGAAGTAATTAAAAACTTCAAAAGATCACTTAACTATGTCTGGCAAATTTTTATGTTAAAACTCACAACGTTTCGACCATGGTTGTGATCCTTTTCAAGTGATCTATCAAAGAAATTACAAGTAGTTTTAATGAAGAGTTGATACATACGTGAGTTAACAAATAACTAAGTTACATAAATTAAAGTTAGAAGTATAAAGATTAAATAAAGTAAGATTGACGAGTTAACAAATAAATAAGTTACATAAATTGAGGTCAGAAGTATAAAGATTGAGAAGTAAAGTAAGATTGACGACATTAATGTAGGACCACAAACCATGGTCGAAATGTTGTGAGTTTAAACATAAAAATTTGTCAGACATGGTCAAGTAATCTTTTAAAGTTCTTATTGATAGAGTTCGCAATAAAATGTATATATAATTCGGCACACCTTATATCAGGTTGTAAAAACATGGTCAAACGAGGAAGCAGTCAACACAAGTTGAATTGCTGTTGCGGTTGCCACGCTTGAAAGAGTCCTAATAAGGACCGGTGGCATAAATAAAGTCATTTGCCGTAGGAATCGTGCCCGTAAGTTTTTGATGAGTCAAGTCTTCGAGTTAACAGGAAAGAAATTCCTTGGTGGCGGATTTAACAGCGCACGCGACTTGTCGTTCAATTTTTCTAATAAAGGTGTAATATCGCACCACGCGTTTCTGCAATCACGCAACAAGACGCGGTCTCTATGCTTCTGTTTTCAAGTTTTCTCGATTATATGGATCGTAACTTACAATTAGAGTGACGATCGTTAGTGACAATCGCGTGACAACGTGTCCCGGCGGCTGCAAGTTAAACTGTTATACTTCACCGCGCACTAAAGTATGATGTGCTTCGGAAACAGGTTTAACGTAGGCTGAGTTATTTTCCCGGTGAATTCGCGATTACGACGACTCGTGTCCTAATAAGGAGCTCTAATAAGGGTTGAGAGTATAAATAAAGTCATTTGCGGCAGTTGCTGTCCTGCCCTTCGTCAGGGCCCTTCGACGAATCGGGCCTTTCGTCGCGTATGGGGACGCAGAAATCGCAGCCAAGGATCGCGTCTCGAATGGGACTCTGGAGGATCGGTTTGTTTTGCGGATTAGGCTCATGTTTTAGTCGCGGCCCGCGACGAATCACGAAACGCGGACCGGCGCACGTCGCCGCTTTTTCTCCCAGCGAGAGTCGTCGGGCCGTCGACTCTCAATGCCACGACGGGTGAGCCGCGAAGGGCCACGTCCGAAATTGCTTCCATAAATGTTGAGCGCACATAATCGAATTTGCGGAACAATAAACCCGCTGATTGGAAATTAATCAAGTCACCGTTTACGATTTTACGGTGAGCCGCAGAAATGCCCTCGCCATCGAACATGTGTGCTGAGAATACAGGTTGAGACATCAAAACTTACATGTACAACGTTAAAAATTTATTATAAGAATAAATAATTAGTGTAGGTATATTATCTATACGGGATTTACATGTTTTAATATATAAAAAAAACATTTTAGTAACTTACATCGATGAATGCCTATACGTATATATAATAAATGGTAGTTCTTTACGCACAACGGTTATAGATTATTAAACTGTAACATAGCATTCGGCTAGTCGTACTTTATCATCGATGACGCCTTTATTTCTCTATTTGTTTTTTTTCGATTTTGTATCATTTTTTTTAACATCTGTTTTCTATAACAACTTTTTTCCAAGCTTATGCCTTACAATTTTCATTCCAATAAAAATCAGAGGACTTGACGCACCTTTTCAGAATACCTTATATGTTACAAAACTTGAAAATTTACGTAAATAAAGTGGAAGTTAGAGGAAAATTGATTAAAACAGATAATTCACGCAGATGAAATCTTAGTAATGGACCTCGCGATTACAATAATAATGTATAAAACGTGGATAATATATTTCGCGTGTTAAAATATTAGATCAGCTTATGTACCTAAGTTGATTATAATTTCTTGAGTATGACAAACAGGTACGTTTAAGACATGCCGTTATATTATTGACTTTTATTAAAAGTATGTATAAGTATACATGCGCTAAGTGTACAAAATTACAATAGTATTACGTAGAAGAGGTTCCGGTGGAGAGAGTATGTACAACAGGTAATACATCTATATTTATACGTATATCTATGCGTATATGTATATATATATGCATAAGGAAAGGTTCATTTTTGGATGTAAAGGAGGACAAAGTTAGTAACGAAACTTAAAAGTATATGAGCATCGTCATCTCCGTTTTCTTAAACCGTCAGGGAATTTAATCCGTCTCGTATAATCTTTCAATTAAGCGTGGGCTTACGAGAGGATCTCGATATGTAATACACCCGTCCTTCGTTACACCTCCGCTTACGCTATCTATTGAGCTAACAGTAAATACATCGCGAGCTTAACGCGTCTCATTTGCTCTTTCTCGAGTTTGATATTTAGCGACGTTGCCGCGGCTTCATCCCGAATGAAGTGGAAGACGGTTCCTCGAATGTAAAATGTTACGATGCAATTCTCTCTTTCGCTTACTTTTTTTAATGCATTCATTTCTACACTAAATGTTGAATTTTACCTTTGGGATTAGATACATCGAATATTGCGTTTATTTGATACAAATATAAAGAGGACAAATGTGAAAATATTCTATAACGTTAGTGTAAAAATTGTGGCGTAACACAAACAATTTACATTCGAGCAAGTGCTAGAACGAATTTGTTATCGATCTCGAGCGCAAGTTCGCTCTGAAGTAAGTCTTGCAACGAAGCCGGGCAACATGACATGACTTATCAGAGAATAGACTAAACAAACAATAACAACAAAAATAAAAAAATGTTCTCGTTTTGTGATCAATGTAAGCATCGAGCTATTTTGTCATGCTGTCAGCACAACGATTTAGCGCCATCCACTATTTATGACACTGTTGCACCATGCTTGCATGTGCACGGTAAGCTGCGGCAATCGAAATATTATTTCCAAATTTGAATCTACATCTGTAAAATTGTTCTGTAAAGAGATACTTTTTAGCGCTTGATATTCTCTTGATTCAATTTCAATTGAATCAAGAGAATAATTGATGATTTCATTTGAAATTGCCGATGTCGAATCGTGGTACTTAAGTTTTTTATTCTAATATTTCGATCAGCTGCAGCGAAGAGTCGCTCGATCTCGTAAAAACGACAGGGAAGGCAAGAAGAAGCTTCTTCGAAAGTCTTCCCTATTTCATTGGTTGTATTTTGGCACGGGGTTGAGTCACGCGCGCTTATCTTCCGCCTTGGCGAAATTACACGCAGGATTTTAATTTCAGAAGCATCCGCTGATCAAGTAATGAATTTAGAAGAGTTCTTCTAACGAGAGAAACTTGATCTATTTTGTTGAGCAACAAGGTGCTATAAAATCATAAACAAACACATGACAAGTAAATGTACCGCAATACGAATAGAAGCGAATAAATAACAACCGCGATTAATAAATAAAACGATATACAATGAAATATGTTGTTTCGCGTGTTTCGATAGCGGCAGATTTCGATATACAATGATTCATAAATCTAATCGGAGAATACCGTCCAGCGGCTTCGTCCGCAATCAATCTTTCCGTCGTGACTCGTTCTCGTTTGAGTGTCTATAGCGAATCGAAGTTGGAGTCCCGATCGCTAGTCTGTGAAAAATTTCAATTAATAACATCGAAATGGTAATTTCAATAAGATATTAACTTTCTTCTAAGAAAACGAATTTTAACACATGTAAATTCGCTATCTTACCCTATCCGGACTGTACAATGGCGGGTGTTGCGCCGGAAGTCTCAGTGTGCTGCCTAAATCACGCTCGGCCATAGTGTGACCCTCGCTGGCGCTGTCTCTAGTGTCCCTGTTATCCCTGGTGTCTTTGACGCTGTTCCTTCTGGCGGCGGCGACTTTTGTCGGCGGTTGGATCGTCGTTTCGCCGCACGATCGCGCCAGTGTGGAACCAGCCTCGCCTAGATCCAATCTAAGGAGCTTCGTCGGAGCTTGAATGGTTGTCTCGCCGCACGAGCGGGCCAGAGTCGAGTCAAGATCAACCTGAAGATCTCCGCTCCTCAATACCTTAGTCGCTGTTTCCACGGTGGTCTCGCCGCACGAACGTGCCAAGGTGGACTCAGCGTCTACAGTACGGGTCACCGTCGCTGAGACCTGTCGATAATTAAAACTCCATTATAGGGTTTCGTGTACTTCCTAAGCGTCTTAGATGTTTCTTTGAGATAAAAATTGAACCGTACCTGAAAACCGGCACTTACGAGAGCACCCGTGGGTGTTATCGGGTTTCTCGTGCCTTGTAAATCAGTTTCCTTGCAATCCTTCGCGCTAGATATACTTTGTTTCCTATTAGCGGGAGAGCACGCGCCATTGTCGAGATAGTTTATGAGTTTGTGTTCCTCAGCGGCGAACGTACTCATGACGGTCTTATTATAATTTTGCGGTGATTGCGGCGCCGATCGATACTTTGCGCGTGGAATCATTACCGTCAAAGAGCGATCACGCTGTTCGTCGTTGATTGGAATTGCTGTAGATGTCAAATTTATTGAACTAAGTATGGCGTGATATTTTTGTAAATAATATTTGCAAATATTATAAGAGTCCTGAATATGAAAGAGATCGTTTTGAAAGTGACAAGTAAGAAATAGCAGTAGTAAAACATACCGGCTGCAGGCACCATAGTAGCTTTTCTAGGTGGATAACGAGGTTTCGCGCTGATCTTACGAACTGGTCGTTTGTTCGGCGGCAAGGGAGCAATCATTTGCGGTGGCGGTGGTAAGATGTGCGGCACGTGATGAGGTATCGCCAAATCGGTGACGCTACCCTCGCTGCTGGTATCACCGCCGGCTCCGGGGATCATAGCCCGTCTGTCGCCGGTTTTCCGTTCGCGTCCTGGATGACGGAAGCACGTCATTCCCACACAGATTGCTAGGAGACCCAGCAGGATGGCGCCGGTCGTCACAAGAGCTATCAACAAAACTACAAACATATGGAAATTTAATTGTTTAAAAGCTTTGTTTCTTTCCGTATGTAATATCGACTCAGTTCTGATTTGATTGCAAAACTATCGTGCTTCATATTAAGGCGGTTTCTTTACCTTTGAGATTAACTTGACATCGTTGGCCGCTGTGCCAAGGGAAGCACTCGCATACTTCTTGACCGAGGGAATTGGTGACGCAGTGACCTTTGTTATTGCAGCCAGCACATCCCAGTGGAGCCTGTGAGCATACTCTTCCGGGATACGCTGGATTTTCCGATAAATCAGCCCAACCTTCTCTACAAGAGCATTGATAGGATCCCCGTAAGTTGAAGCATGCCGCGTGGGGCGAACAGTCGTGATGCGGGCCGCCATCCTTAGATGCGCATTCGTCAAAATCGACCGCCTCGATCTAAATTAGATTAAGGAACGAGATATTGAGAATCTATTATTAACGACAGAATTGGAACGTTAACTTTTGACCCTTGAACTTTTGCAATTATTAATTTGTATATCGTAATTCAACTGACCGAATCAAGGTTCTTCGAAGCGTAGACCTCTGTGCCACCTAAGCTATAATTGCTGCCAACTAAATATTTCCGAAGAACTTCCTTCAATCTGGTCTCATTTGCGTTATCGCTAAGCTGCACATGAAACTCGACCTTCGTAGGATCCGGGACGAATCCGGCAATCTTGAGGCCTCTGTATACATCTCTCAAGTCACTCTGCATTAAAGTCCTATCCAGGGCATCCCTCGTCGGAACTACCAAACGTTTGTAAGTCGCCGAGGTAGAATCGTTTAAGGCAGCGTCGTGCGCCACGAATTCATGACCGATGCGATCCAGACCAACGCGCAGCGTGTACGTGTAGGTCGCTAAAAATTATTGCGCGTTAACTCAAGCATATTAAGCCGAGCAATATGTCGTCAAAAATTGTGTATAGATCTGTGAGCTTACGTTTGCAAGGGCGATCCGGGAACATTCTCGCGAATCCTGACCGACAGACGCACCTCATCTTGGTTCCCACTTCGGCGCATATCTCAGATTTAGATGATTTACACTCCGGTGTGCACTGGTTTACAGCTGGCGCAAGAGGTACTATTGGAGCGCCAAGCACTCCACCCGATAGTACTCTGTGAATTTCGTTGCCCGTTGGATCCTGCTCATCGCGAGAAACTTCTTCCCCGTATTCAGCTTCCACCTAAAATTCAAACGAAATATGCCGTCTATGTAATTGCTTTCTATAACATTTAATAAGAGAAGATTAATTCAAGAAAAAAATCCGAGAATAAAACACGCTGAGAGGCGTGCTTGTTATGACGTACAGCACGTAATAATATACTTCGTGAGTCAATACCTCTTCTGCTCCGGACGCGGGTGGTTTCTGATCGCTCATCACGACAAATATAGAGTCACCATCCGCTGCGTTGTCGTACGTCGAGGATACCCTCGTAACGATCGGTTGTAAAATCGTCGAGGTCACCGTAGACACTACGCTTGTCGGACGCAGCAATGTTTCCGTCACAGTCTCGATAGTCGTCGTGGTCATCGTGTGCGTGAGTAAAAGCGTTCTCGTCGTCGGCGGTGAGCCCAACACCGATGTTTTAGTTCTCGTTACTGTCGAAGTCTTGAACCGTGTCACCTAATTTATAAGCGTTAATATATAATGAGTACCTGCGGTTATTCGAGAAATAATAATTTAACTTATAACCTTATGTCGGGACACCCGTACCTCTTTTGGCTTCGTGCGTATTGTAGCGTTGAATTGATCCCTGACGATGGTACTGGTGGTCTTTACAATATTCTTTGTAAATTGTGTAGTCGAGTTACTTGCCTCTGATCGCGTCTTATTGCCCGATGTTGGTATCAACGTACTTGTTACTTTAGTGATCGAACTATCAACTCTGGTGACGACCACGGATGACTCTTTGTTCGCCGTTTTATTCACGATATTGTATTCGGTTACTTGCGGTTTTTGCGTCTTGACGTTCGACATCATCGAATGTTGTTTCTTTTCCGTTCCTACGATGAATGTTAAAGACTCGGTGGGCTCGACTCTTATCGATGGTAGGATGCTCTCGTGGCTAGATTCTAAGAATACCGGATGCTCGGGTCGCTTAACAGGATTTGGTGGGATATCCAGAACGTACGTTCTCGTCGGATCGACATCGCGATGGATTGTCGATGATCTGCTCGGTTGAATGTGATCCACTTGCGGTGGTCGCAGTTTTGTCGGTATTACTATATTTGTGGACGCCGATGTCGATTGAATGACGATTCTAATGAATGCAACAATCAAATTATTAATTGTTTGCTCGTAATAGAGTTTTACATCATTTACATACCTAGACACGGGTCTTGTATCAAACGGTCGCACGGTGTAAATGCTAACGTGTTCGGTCATTCGCGTTTCCGCAGGTCTAAGGATCTCGGGGACGTCGACTACAACTGGTAGATCAACGGTGCCGTGAATAATTGGGATTTTCGATTCGATATCTTGGATCACCGGGATATGTGACGTCGCGACGGCAGTGGCTATCTGTATGGAACCAGAAACCGCGACTGCTGGTCTCACAGTAGCAATCTCGAGCGGTCTCGTAGTTGTCAGTATCGGCGGCGGCGGCACCATGTCCTAAAATGTAACACATCGTTAGATTATGTTTTTCGTCGTTTTAATAATAGATATTTTATAAATCTTATAAATTGCGAAAATCGGAAACGTTAAAGTTTTACCTGCGACAGTAGCTCTACGAGGAAAGGTCTTGTGAGCGACGGTCTCGGGCTGGGCGGAACCATATTTGTGCTAGGCGGTGCAACCGTCGTCGATTCCCTTAGAGGTACGTATTTCGGCGGCTTCAAACCTGACTCGTCGGTCGTCATATGAGTAGTAGTGATGTCTACCGGGGGTGGCGACAATCCAAGCACATCGCTCGACGGCGGTGGCGGTGGTTTAAGTCCCTCTTGCTCTTGTTTCTTCGATTGATTCGATCCGACTCCCACGTTTAGAGGCGGTGGCATCATGTTTCTAGAGGGAACATTTGTTTCCTTGATTTTGCTCGGTTCGCCTTGAGAATCCGAGGAGGCAAAGTTTGGCTTGTACGTATCCAAAGTTTCATCGTTCTTTTTATTATGCGGTGGATTATTTTTCGTGACTAACATACTGGGCGGCCGCTCGGTTTGTGTCTTACTGTCCACTTCCTCGCCCGTAGCCTCCACCGACATGGAGAACTTGACGTTTGGACGACCGTGCGTCTCCAATCCCGCAGTACCACTTGAAACTATTACCGGCTCCGGCACTTGTGGTTTCGGTTTCGTCAGAATATGAGGATATTCCGGGTGCACCCTCGTGAACGTTCCGTATTCTGGTCGAACGACACTTGGACGTTTATTGCCGATCGTAGCCGGACGAGATGTAGTGCCATTTTTATTTGCAGCTATTTTTGTTTCGGAAATCCGGAAATCATGCCCGGTTGATATTTTCTGCTGAGAATTTGTAATATCCGGGACCGCTACGTCTACGTTCCAATTTTGAAGATTTATTCCGTGATTCAATGTTTGATTGACATAAATTTCTGTATTCGGCTTGACATTCTCCGGACGTTTGCCAGTGTAATCGGGTCTAACTTCTAATTTAATCGGCGGTTTCGTTAATATCTCTGGTTTGATTCGTGTTAAACCAGGTCTCGTGTCAGGTCTAATCGGTCTAGAAAACGGTCTTCCGGGTCTATCTACCTCGCCGAATGGAGGTACAATCGCCGGTGGCTTTAAATCGATGGTATCGTCGCGTTCGAGTGAGTTCAGTGTTGTGACTTGTCCGCCTTGCGTCTTCTTGGTCGTAGTAATTGGTTTTGCATCTTCATTGTAAGGAGCGGGTATACCGTGAACTATTTCGTAATCGGGTTTGCTGCCCTCTTTTTGTTTGTACCCGTAAGGAGTGGCCGGATCCACGTAGCCATTGTAAACACCGAAAGGCTTGCCTTGTATTATGGGCAGTTCGTAAGGTCTCGTGTTGTAGGGATTGGTACCGTGAGGTCCTTGCAGTAACGGCTTCCCGTCTGCTTCGCTTTCGTAAGTCACGTCATGTTCTTGCTCGACTTCCAGCGGCTTGCCTACAACCGTATTGATAGAAACAACTGGCCCATACAAGGTTTGTGAATTCAGAGTTTGGTTAATGCTTTGAGAAGACGCCATTGCATCTTTCTTATCCTGATTATCGGTTTCGTGACTTCTATTTCCTTTTCCATGATGATGATTCTGGTAATTGATATACTCCGAGGCACCGATGTCAGAATCTAGTAGCGTCTCCTCTGTATGCGTATTAGTCTGCCACTTTTCAAGATAATCTCCTGACGACACATGCTGCGTTTTCGTAGCGGATACTTGAGAATGTTTGTTTTCTTCTGATATCGGATTTGGATATAACGGATTGTGATATTCTATTGCTCCCGTAGGCACATGATCACTCTGCTCAGTCGGCGGCGCGACATTTGTCTTATCCGGATACACATGCGGCGGTCTGTTCTGATTGTCAATTTGAAGAGTGAATAGATTAGGCGATATCCGAGTAGGTTCCTGGTGAGATTGAGGACTCATTGGTGGGCGATGCGGTAATACAAAGGTGTTGTGCGTCTTCGTCGGAGGTCTCTGTGGCCCAGGATACGTTGGTTTCCTAATCGGCGGATATCCAGTAGGTCGTTCCACGAAAACATGTCTATCTAAAGGACGATTGGTTGTCGGCCTCGGTCGCGGTCTCGGTCGATTATTTAGAGCGAATCTGACCGGCTTTTTGTCGGATTTCCAGTTAGTGCCTAACGTTATCTCGTTTCCAGAATCTGGTTTTCCTAGGAATATATACCGATGTGGAACTTCGGTCGGCGCCACTTCCACACGTCTCGGTGGAGCTGGTTCCACTGGGGTTTGACCATTCGAAAAATGGCCGCGCACTGGCGGTTGATGAGCGGAATGTCCATGAGAATGAACAGATGAATGAGGAGCGGGCTGAGGTCGAACGTTTATCGTTTCCGGTTTGTGATGTACAAGAATTTCTGTGTGAACGTGGCCTTGGCCGGAACTTCCGGATCCGTCGGGTCGTTTGATCAGATGAATCTCCGATGGCCTTTTATCGGGTCTTAATACAGCCGTGTCTGGCACTTCCTGCGGTCTCCCGCGTACAGGTGACAACAGAATAGCGTGCGGACGATTGGAGAAACCTGGCTTCGGAGACGAAGACTTGAAGTTGATAGATGGTGATGGAGGAACCATGTAATGGGTTGGATTTGTCTCGCTTGAATATTGTGACAAATCTCCGACCTAAACATATACAGCGATATAAAAATCAAACGTCATGCGAGAACATTAATATTAAAATCGATATCAGACATACCTTTTGGATACCAACAAAGCCTGGTCCAACTTCAGGTTCTGGATAAGGCGATGGATCGTCAAAATATTGACCACTTATATGAGGTTCGTTAGTATCTCCGAAAATCAGAGCTTGTGTGCCGCCTTGAGGAATCACGACATTAGCTACTTGACTTGGTTGAATATTGACTAATAGAGGTTGCCCCGTTGATCTATCGATGACATGTGGAACCTGATGAACTATCGGCTCGGTAGGAATTGGTTTTGGCTCTGAATCCTGTATGACGATAGAACTGTCCGGTAATAGAGGATCTTTTTGTGCCCATGGCGGTCGTTTTTGTTCTTCCGATGATAATACGACCGAAGTCGGGTGGGAGGTTTCGATTGGTTTGTCCGGATGAATCTTGAAACAAATTTTCATATGTTACACATACACTGAGCAAATAAATGTATATGTATAAATAATAGACGTGAAACATACTTCGTCAAGGCTCGCAGGTGGCGTTAAGGGATCTTTAGCGCTCCAGGGTCTTCTATACTTCTCCGGATTCCACTCCGGAATTTTATGGTTTACATTAGGATTCGCGTACTGCTCTACGTTTGGTCTGTTGGGTGGCTTCAGCAAAGGATCATTCTCCAGAATATCCTGTTTCGATGCGATTCTTTTAGGCGGTGATGATTGAACGGGAAGCAATTTTTGAGGCTGTTTAGGAGCTGTCGGATGATTCGTATCGAGAGGAATGGAAACCGGCACTTTCAAATGGTCCTCATAAACCTGATGAGCCGGCAAAATCTGCACTTGCGTGACTTGCGCAGTTTGTTGAGCTTGTACATCGTCGTCGTTTTCCAGGACCTCTAATACAGGATGTACCGGAATGTTCGGTACCGGTAACGGTGGTGGTTTCATGCCGATGTGCTCTTCGTCTTTTAGAAACGTCTGCGGCGGTCTCGGCGCCATTTTGCCTGGTTTTCCTATGATAACATCGCTGTTGGCGGTGATAACTTCACCCGGAGATATCGGTATACCGTCGGCAAGACTGCTGGTCACCTTGTGGCGCGTCTCAGCGATGTAATTGTGATTGAGATTTGCCAGATGGGCAGCTAGAAGTTGGCAGCCGTACAGTATTTGAACTGCGCGAAATAAAACGTTAATAACTATTGCGAAAAAGAAAGAGAATCGTTACCGATGTGTTGGCTTTCAGCGGTTTCTATGTCACCGTCAGCAAATTCCGCGACGGGTATGTAGATCGGCGATCGTTGCGTCGTGACTTCTTGAATCTCTGCCAGGGGTACACTGTCGTTTCTACGAGTAGCGGTTTTTCCTTGTAATAATCCGGCCATCGCTGTGATTACTGGTCCCAAAGCCGATAAGCTATTTATTCCTAAAGAACCCAGACTAAGGAGAGGTTTGCTAACTGAAACATCGTCTCCGGATTGAGAATTCGGCCGTTTATTTTGTGGTTCGTCGCTTGCTAGCGTAGTACCATTATTATCCTGTATAAAAATTGCAAATTATTATTTACACGTCTCATTTGAAATATTCACTCCATATGTTTCGTTGTGGTAAATATTAAAAAGTTGCTTCTTTTAGTTTATTGGAAAAATTGTAATAAATGAAATGTACCTGTTTATCGATAGAATCTGCTGGCTTTACGTCGGAATTAACATCTTCCGGCAACGTCTCCGTCGTACTTGTAGTGTTCGTGGGACTTTTCTCGTGCTTTTTTATTTCCGTAATAGAGGTTGATTGTGGGAGATTCGAGGTCGCGGTTGGATCAATCTGGTCCTCCTCGTCAAAGAAAATAATCGTCGAGCCCGTGACGACGTTTTTCACCGGATCGGAATGATGCGCGGTCGTCAATAAGGCGTTCATATATCCGGCGTCTAATAAACTCGGGGCTATTGACTCCGTCACAACGTTCTCAACGATATGTGAACGAGACGTCACGGTCGTTGACGTTTCGCCATCTGGGCCAGCCTGACAGGAGAGAAATTTTAAATGTATGTAGGGCGTAAATATATTGTATTAAAAGTACCGTAAATACCTGTAGTAACGTCGTGAAGTAAGTGAACGTGGTAAGGTATGTTTTAGTAGCAAAGATCTGTATGGGCTCCGGCGTAGGATTAACCGGAGCGGTTTTCATGGTTGTTTTTCGCACTGGCACTTTCTCCAATACCACGTCAGTTGACGTGGCTACGTTCGTGCGAACTACCGTGCTACCTTTCTCCAAAAATGTATTGAAATACGTGTACGTGATGTAATACGTCTTAGTCATATCTGTCACGCTACCGTCGGTGTTGTCCAAGGCAGTCAGGGTGGTTGTAACACTGGTTGGTCGCGGCGGAGGAGCTGATTCTGTTACTATCAACTAGAAAAATCGAGAAGGAAATAATGTAATGTCGCAGTGAATATCGATGTCAAAATTTGTGGAAAGAAAATAAGCTAACCTGAGTAATTGTGTCGCTGACCATCTCTGTTTTTGTTCGACCCTCTTCCATAAACGTCTTTTCTAACACTCTGGTACTGAGATATGTATTGGTTTCCGGTCGCGGAGCTTCTGATGGCTGGAGAATCATGTCTAGGTAATGTTGCGGCGCGGTAACCGTGTTCGTTATTACTTTCGTGCTACTTTCTAAGGCGTCATTCACATCCGGATGATCTGTGTTCAAAGTCAAATACGTGTAAGTCGTTTTAAATACTTCGGTACGTAGAGTCGGAGATACTTCCAGAGTCACGGCTGCCGTTTCGGAGCCAGGTTTTCTGTGCCGTTCTTCTGTCGCTGTATTCGCTACCACCTAAAAGAAATAGTAAAATTATTTTACTAGTAAAAATTTTTGTAGAACGTTTTAAAAATTGAACGTTGATTGAAATACTTCCATTGATGCTGATATTAAAAAATATGTGAAAAGGTGATTCATAGAGAAATTCAATATCACAATCAGTCCTTTCTGTAATAATTTTTCTTGATTTAAAGATATCGGATCTTTTTGAAAAAAAAGTATATTAAAGCTATAAATTTTATTATTTACCAATCGATAAAAATCTAACGCTTTATAATATATTTCTTTTTAACACGTGATGCCTTTTCCTACACAATAATTTCTTTCTTGTGTATTTATGTTTTGAGATCACACAAGTCATAGATAAATTATTCTATAATATACATATGTGGTTTAAATTATTAACAAATTATAAAGGGGAGACATGAAGTTTAAGTAAAGGTTTTATTCGGAGAAATATGTATACAGATACGTTTGCGTAAGCACCTGCTGCTCTGTGGAAACGGTAGTCGTTCCATCCTTAGTGATTGTGTTGAGGTACGTGAAAGTTGTTGTGCAAGTCTTCGTGACAAACTCGTTCGGTTTATCTTGAGGCAGGAGCATGACCACCGCTTCTGACAAGGTGAGGGTAGGTTGAGGATTCGAATTTTCCCATCGTAGAGCCGGAGTTGGCCCGGCGACAATGACTTCCACGCCATTCGACATTACGCGGGTCGCTAAATTGAACCTGCGCCCTTCTTCCTCATCCTTCGCCTCGTATTCTCCTGTCGTTACGATTTCATAAGCAATGATTCACACCATGTTGCATACATATATATATGGAAAACTTACTTTGCAATAATGACTTTATTACTGTTTTTTTAAATACTAAAACAAAATTTCTTAGCGATGTGACAAATACTGTAAAATTGTAAGCTTACCTATCGTTGATGTTGTTCAAAGTAACAATCAAATAATATATGTGTCAATATATTTAGAATTAAAAAGAATCATATATTTTTAATTCTATATATATTATAATCAAATGTATAACTAAGTTTTACAAAAAGTTCATAAAGTCGTACAGGGCGGGATTAATATTTGTATATATGTATATATATCGTACATAAAAACGCAAATTTAGATATGTACAGCGTCGTTTTGTCATATACAGTATTTACATTTCATACAGGGCTGTAATGTACAGGAAAAAAATTTAGAATACCAGAAGCCAATTGACACAGTATTTAACAGAGCATTTACACAGTCCAATAGTCCGTACAGTTTCGTACAAGTCTAACCAAATTCGCGTAATCAGGAAGTCTATAGCGTAAAAAAGATTATTAGTCTAAGGATTATATTACATACGGCGATTACCGTGTGCACTTTACGTTGGTGAAATGACCAGTTACATCATCTCGGTTTCTTTTTTTAACAAAATTATTTCCCGATCAATATTACTTCGAGGAAACATCGTACGTGTTTCATACATGAGTTTAAAGATATCTCAACGTTCTTGTGCACTGTGCAATCGTCGTGAGAGAGAAAGAGAGAGAGAGAGGTCTCAGATGGACAAAAGGTACTACTCACCGGCAACGGGTACTGGATTATACACAGATGATACGAAGCCGGCTGACGACTCCACGGTAGGAGTGACAGTCACCGTGACCGGCACCGTCAACGTAAGTGTCGTCACTCTCGGTCGTACGGTCGTCGACGACGTCACTTTAGTCTCCAGTCCGTTAAGTTGCGTCACCACATAAGTATACGTCCTCAGTCGCGTCGACGTCACTACCGTCTCCGTGTAATAAACGCTCGTGCTGGGCTCCAGCGCGAGATCCGGTGTGAATTTAGTCTCTAGATCGACCGTATCTGATTTCGACGGTAAGATCTCGGGGAAATCGAGGCGAGACAACGACAGATAAAGATCATCCGCTAGCCCGGCCTCGATCTCCTCTGGTGTAGGCGAAGCGATCTCGCTCGTGACTTTCGTCGCGGGTGCGGAGATTGCGGTGACCGACGAGGACTTTGTTTCGCGGGTGTAATTTGCGCCAAGGGGTATCACGCTGGGTACGTACGAATCGTCGAGATAAGTTGACGAATCGGTATCGCGAGTCGGTGACTTTGTAGTCTCGAGCGGTATAACGCTCTCAAAACTCGGCGCGATCGCGATATCAGATGGAAGGACCGTTCCGATTAGAGAAATCTGGGTCGAATTAGAGTCAGTTATGACATCTGGTTGAATAGGTCGCACTGTTAATATTTCTTCTGGGTTCTCGTTGATTGTTTCTGGTATCGCGCTACGTTCTGTAGACTCTTCAGGAGCTGAGGTTGTTTCCTGTCCTTTACCTTCCGTCGTAATGTTTTCTTTATCGGGGATGCTCGTAGATTCATCGAACACATTTAATTTAGTGGTATCCTCCATGAAAGTAGTTTGCTCTTCAGGAGTGGCAGTGGTAGAGGTCTGCTCTTTTGCTGCTAATTTATCATCGCCATCTTCTTTAATACGAGTAAGTTCAGTAGTTGGTACTTCTTCGTTTACGATGGTCTTCGTTGATAATTTTGTATTATTGATGTCTTTCAAAGCGATCGATTCCGTTATATTTATCGATGCATTATCGGATTCTTGAGGCGTTTTTATTGTTTGCTCCTCGGGCAGATTTGTTAGTGTAGTTTGGCTGATCGGTGTTGTCGTTACAGTAATATTGTCATTCTCAACATCGCTCTTATTAGACACAATATTATCCTCGTCCTTGTGAGAAATTCTAGGATGCTCATCCTTCATTAAAACTGTGATTTTATTTACATTTTCAGTAGTAGTAGTCGTGTCGTTGTAGTCATCTTCGTATTCTTCGTCTCCCTCGTCGTCAGACGCAGGGAAAAAGAAATTGTCGGTGATAATCACTGCCGTGTTTGATGTGCCTTCTTCAGATTTAGTAGAACTGGCATCCAACGATACAATACTCGCCTCCTCGTCAGGTTTATTGTCAATAAGATTCGGCGTTTCTTCGAGACTGGGCGTAACAGCGGAATGATCCTTTCCTCTAACAATCTCGCTCTCGTGCTCTTCCTCATGTTCTTCTGAATATTCATCATATGCGGAAGAAGGCGCGGTGAAGAATCCAGTGGTAATAATGGCAAAAGTCGACGTCGGTAGTATCGGACGCACCGCGACTAATTTCTTCCTGGTCACTCTAACTTTATTTTTAGTTGGCGTTGGCGTAGGTTGAAGCTTTCTACGTCTTGTTATAGTTACTTTGTGCTTTCCAAAACCAGTAGGCTGGTAATTTCCATAGTCTGCCGGTGTGTCGGTCGAATAAATCGAGTCGACCGATCCGAGAGTTCTGACACGCGTCACTACGATTCTCCGTGGTGCATGCGTGGTAGACGTAACGTACGCGAGATCTTTGGTGCGAGATGTCAAGGGTCTGCGTCGAACAACCGTAAACTTATGTTGTCTAGCAGTTCTGCTACGCACAACGGGTACTCGAACTCTAACACGCTTTCGTGGTATCTCCTCGAAAGATTCGTCATCATCGTCGACCCTTCCATTATTTATATAATCCTCGTTTGTGAACCATGTATTAATGGTACCTTCTCTGTTGCGTTCAATATTCCTACTTCCGTATTGCACCGATTCAGCGTAGAGATTACCTGCAAAGGTGACCGTTCCACTCGTCTGTTCGAATCATATCTCGCCTTGTACTTAAGTTCATTCCGCGATCTAATGAAAATCTATATGATCAAGCAGCGATAAAGCCATTCTTGGATGTTGCTTTTGTGATGCGTTAATCGATTGGAGTTAAATAACGCTGCCGTCTCGTGTTCAATTTTTTTGTGTGCTCGTCTGATTGAATTTTGCCACGTACACTTTGCATTTTAGTAACGTTACCGGGCGGTTGAGCGACTTTTCTGTTTGTTGTAATGTTGTTGGCGAGACGGAAGAGTATCATGTCCGATTTTGTCGTGTGGGCGCGCGTGCGGCGGCAGATCGAGGCTGTGTTAGTAAAAGGAAATGTGGGACGACGCTCGAAGGGGATACTTTTAAGAAGGAAATACAGAAGAGATTCAAGAGAGGTCGGGAGAGAGAGAGAGAGCGAACTGAACAGAACGGACACGAGACGACCATCCTCGCGAATGACTCTCGTCTTTCACTGAAGCTGTAAACTACCCATGACCCTTCCTTTACATAATTTCAAGGAAAGGGACCCCGGCAGTCTCGGGATTGTCTATATTACATACGAAGCAGCTTCGATTTTCATCGATGTTGCTCGTTTTCTTCCCACTACGACGTGCCCGAAGAAGCTGGACCGATGCTCTCCGGATGAAAGAGATTTGGGAAAGGCGGTTAGCCTCTGGGGCGATTTCAAGTGGGTCTCAATAAAATTATGGACTTATAATATAAGGACGAAAGAGAGAGAAGAGGGTGAGGAGCGGGGATGGATTTTTGTATAACAGAGAGAGGGAATAAGATTAGGTATAGATGGACGTGGAAATGTGCCGTCCGACGTCACCCACTACGCTCTCGAGACTTTGTGTTGGTGCGTGTGCGCCGATAGGATCTTCGCTTCCCGCCAGAATGGCAACGGCTACTGGTCCAGCGTGCAACGACGGCGGTACGGAAGGCCGGACTTCGACGGCTCCTTCCGAAGCGTCTCTTCGTCTTCTGGATGCGGTGGCGGAATCGTTGATTTTTACAGTACTCAGAACAGTGCTGAATTCTCCGGGTCTGCGGCCGGAAACGTAGAGCGTCACCACGCTAGATTCAGCTTTCGTAGCTGCGGAGGCTTTGGACTCCTTTTTCTTGTCGTTCGATTTACCGCGTCCGCGTGATCTGGACGGCTTCTGATATTCTTCCACATCGTCTTCGAAATACTCGTCGCTGTCGTGTCTATAATCGGAATCGGCTGGCTGATGTCTTCTCTCGACTTCTCCTGGTAAGGTGTTACTCTGCGTGAATGGAGCAGCCGCGAACAGAGGATCCAGCAACGGATTGGGGTTCTGCGGTTGCGTCTGTGGTTGTTGCAGCAATAACAAGAGGGAATTTATGTTGGCCGCCGGTATCGCGACCGTTGGGGTCACCACAACGGTGTCCGTTATGAATTCCGTCGCTGTAACGACGTTGGTCGAGGAGTCGACCAGAGTCGTCAAAATCTCCTTCCCGCGAAAGGTGAGAGGAATAATAGTGCTCTGATGTTTCGTTATTGTAGTGACGTAGGAAGTGGTGCGTGTGTTATATTGCGTGGTGGGCGTAGCTTGGGGTTGTAACAGAGGATTCGGCTGACCTAATTGACCCAGAAGTAATTGCGAAAGAAGAATATTGGCGAGGGGAGCGTTGCCGGGCAAGGAAGGCTGAACCGTAGAAACTATGTTCTCCACGGAGTACACCGTCGTGGGTATAATAACCGATTGAGAGACGCGACGGCCACCGAGGCTCGTGAGGGTGTGCGAGATACGTGTGGTGGGTGTCTGGTGCAGCAAGAATCGCGTGACTTCGGCCTGGCCTTGAACATTGGTACCCGTCACTTCAGTAACGATCACTACGAGTGGCTTTCCGTCTCCAGCAGTTACTGTGCTATACTGAGAGGGCCCGAGGACTTCGGTGCTTGGTTGTGCCGTTATAATATTTCGATGTTCCGTGACACCGTTGTTCACCACAGGAATTGTTACTTCCGTCGGTACATAATGTGTTACGGTTATGGTCCCGTCGAAGTTTGGATATACAGTAGGCGCTTCCCGAATGTCCTCGTAAGTTCCTCTACCTCTTGAAGAAACCCTCCTGTTGTTCCCGCTTCTACCGTTTGTTGATCTCGAGCGAGATGATGGTACTCTTCGGGAATTCGTTAAGTCCGATTTGGAAGATCCATTTCGTAATCTCGGTGGCCTAACCCTTCCGTTGTCAGATTTACTGGTAGATCTACTGCTTGGTCTGGGACTGGAAGTTGGCCTCTTGTAACCTGATCTGTTCGAAGATGAGTCCTTTTCTCTCAATGTAAACTGTCTTCCATTACTTGAGGTCGGTGATGGTTTTATTCTGACAGATCCATTTCTATTTCCACTAGGTTGCTTCGGTCTGGTTCTGGGCTTACTTTGCTGATTCGATAGCTCCGACGTTTCCGCTGTTTGATCGGGACTGTTCGACGTTTTCTGCGATGGTGAAGACGTTAAACTTCGCGCGCGATTATTATAACGAGCTGGAGGTTTCGCTATTTTTACAATGTCTTCCTTATTCTCTACGGCGTCCAACGAATCAGATCTATCTTCCGCTTTTGCAGAAGACGACTGAGCGGGTCTACGGAAACGGCTGCTGTATGCCCTCAACTGGCTAGCTTGACGACGAATTCTTCTTGTTCTGGCTCCGAAAGGTCTAATTTGTACGACAGGTCCAACAGCTTTCCCAGAGCGACGATTCACATTTCCGTTTGATCTTCTGTCTTCATGTTCCGATCCTTCATAATCATTATCCGATATTTCTTCAACGGGTTCGTCTTCGAAACCTTCGTTGCCCTCATTTTGTCCCTCATTTGATTTGATTGGCTCTTCAGTAGTTACTTCTTGCTTTCTACCGAGCAGTCCACGTGGTGGGAACAAACCTGTATTGCTCGGTCGTGTTCTCGTAGATACCGGAGGAGTGGCTCTAGAATTTGTTCGTCCATTGGTTACTCTAGGAACCGTTGGCGCGCTTGGTCTGTTTAAATTTCCCGATCGTCTTGGCGTTGTAGTCGTCGGTGGTCTTGAAGTAGTTGCCGACCTGCCGTTACTGTTTAAATTAATAGGTCTGCGGAATCTGAGGAGCGGATTCGTAGATCTTCTGGATGATTCTGTCGTAGTTTGCAGAGGAGTGGTAACGGTTTCACCGTCGAAGTACTCTGTAAACGGCGTTTCATCCGTTACGAGCGTAGTCGTGGTGAACTCATTGGCGTCGTTCTCTTGATCGTCTTGTTTGGCGGTAGGTTGCCCTCTCAATAACGTCGACGATGGTCGGATTCCTGCGCGGTATTTCGATGTGGCACCAGGAAACGCGGAACTCGAAGCGCGAGTTGCAACCCTGGCGGAGGATCCTCTCACCGACGTGGGGCCACGTCTGTTGCCTTGAAACGCGGACGACGGAGTTATTCTGGGTTGCACTCTACCTCGGGTACTACCCGCTGGGAATGCCGTGCTTGAAGTAGTGGCGGTTCCGCGTCTGCCTGAAAATCTTCTTGAGCTTGATGGAGATAACGTCGAGGAATACGGCCCGATTGGTGATGTAACGCGACCTCGCGACGATGCGAACCTGTTACCCTTACCAGCCAAAGTGGCAGTTATCGTCGGAGTTATGTCCGTTCTGGTAATAGTCGTCGCGGCTTGCGCGCCTTTGCGTTTCGGATTGAAGGTCGGCCTATTCCTGGAGGCGAACGGTCTTATCACGGGCGTGAAAGTTCTCTTTCTCGTCGAGAACGTCAACCGTGATTTCTTCTTCGAACTTTGTCCGTCATCGCCTTCCTCGCCCTCCTCGTCATCTTCCTCATTCTGACCGGAATCCTCGTCTTGATCGGCAGAATCTGCCGTGTGGTCTTCAGATAAAGAAGATTGGATAACGGCGGGAGAAGGCAATATTCCCGGGATACCCGTCGATTGACTCGGAGGCAGAGTGGAAGTCGGCGAGATGTTTGCCGTGGAAGTCGGCACAAAGAAGCTGGAAGTACTTTCGATAATCTGAGCATATCTTCCTTCGATGCTCGTGCCAATTACTTTTGATTGATAAAATGTGGTAGTACTGTTATTCTCCATCTGGCCTTGAATCAAGCGTACTAAGCCTGTTCGGTGACCTTGAGTCGGCGGAATGCTCGCTTTTCTTTCCTCGTCTATCTTGGTGCTTGATGTACTTTCGATCACTTTAGCGTAAGTACCCTTGAAAAGCGTGCCGATTTGCTTAGTCGTAAAGTAAACGGTGGTGACTTCATCAGCATCTATCACGCTTCCTTTATTCAAAGATAGAACTCCCGTAGGGAGAACCGGCGTGGCTATCGACGAAGAAGGTAATGGCGGTGTTTCTATCCTCGTCGAGCTCTTTACCACTCGTGCATAATATCCATCTATGTAAGTACCGTATACATCTGTCGTGTAGTGAGTCGTGGTATCGTCGTGTATATCACTTGAACGTATCGTCGAAATCAAGCCCGTTTTCAGAGTTTCGGTCGCCTTAAGTGTCACGGTTTTCTCGTCGGTATTTATTGTCTGAATCGGCGGATACACAGGTCCACCGATCGCGCGACCAGTCGCCTGTTGTGTCGCAATGTCTGGTATCGATACGCTCGTTACAGTCTCCAATCTGCTATTCAAGATTGTCTCATTTCCGATATAGGATGTAGTGAAGTAAGTGAATGTGGTGTAGAAGGTCGTGGGTTCGGGCGAAATTGACGAAGCGTTCACGATGTTCTGATCAGGTTTGGTTGTAATCGGCGATTGTCCGTTCGTATCCTCGGCGATGGATTTTCCAGCGTTGCCGAAAGGTGTCACTTCGTTGTCCGCCGTGATCTTGGACTCCTCTTCGTTGGCTGCTTTCTCCTCCGATGGCGGATTCACAGTTGGCGTGTAAGTCATTATCACACCGAGCTCCACCGTAGGTGTAGGTGAGACACCCGGTGTGACAACGTTGCTGATGGTTTCCTCGCGACTAGTGGTTATAGTATCACCACCCTTGTAGAACGTCGTCCAATACGTGAAGGTCGTGAAATATGTTACTGGCAGTGTGCTGGTTGGAACCGGCACTACGAGGGATGGCCTCAAAGTTTCTGTGACGACATTCGTAACTGTTTCCAAACGACTGGCGACATTCGTCTGGTCGCCCTTATACATTGTCGTGAAGTACGTGAAGGTCGTGTAACTGGTCTGCAGTAGCAACGTCGGTGCGGGCTCGACCTCATGATTGTTCGACTCTGATAATTCTTGGTCCTCTGGAACGATGTTTCTCCGGTCCACATCTAAAACAGTGCCACCACCAGAGCTGGAAGAGGACACGACGTCCGTGATCATGGAGCCCAGAACTTCCACGTCTGTCGGAGGATTGGGCGTTACTTGCGCGCCTACTTGGAAGTTGCGGAATAAGCGTTCAGTGGTGGATCGATCTTCTAAAGTGGTAGGCACCTCTGTCGTAATTTCAGTAGTTTCGTCAGTGCGCTCGGTGTTAGCTTGCTTGGCTTTTTTCGCTAGTGAAAGTGCTTCTTCTTGTGATTTCTGACGTTGAAGAGCTGCCAAATAAGCTAAAATTTCTGGAGGGGCTGCAGCTTTATTTTTGACAGATTCAGATCTCGGTGTCGTTGGCCGAGCCGTTTCTTGCGGAACAGATTGAACCTTGGTAGGTGTAATAGTCTCCGTGACGACGTTAGTGAAGACTTCGGTTCGCGTCTCGATTTCCGTCTCGTCGTCCACAAAGATAGTGGTAAAATATGTGTACGTCGTATAATACGTCTTTACTTGTTCCTTTACAGCTGCGCTCGCCATAGCTGGAGTAGGGCTCGGTTCTAAATCGGTGGTCCATCCATCGGATGTCTCGAAATCATCAACAGTCGTAATAGATTCCGTTGGAACGTTCTCTTGTAACGTGGTATCCTGTTGCTGGAAAGTAGTTAGACCTCCTTCGGTCGTTTCATCAGAAACTCGATAGATCGGTTCGGTACCTTTGTTGAAATCCTCGGGAGTACGAGCGTTTGTTATTACCGACGGCAAGGTATTTTGCGATATCGTCGTCGGGGATATCAGAACGGATTCATCTTTCTCGAAGAGACTGGCGACAACGGCAGAAACACCATTTGGCCCGACAGTCTGCGTGATAACGTTAGTCTCAACAACCTGCCGACTAGATACGCTAGATGTATTTTCTTGGAAGAACGTCGTTAAATACGTGTACGTCGTGTATAGGGTCTTGAAAATGAGCTCTATCTCTTCATCTTGTTTAGTAGTTTGCTCTTCTTCGATTTCATCGGGCAAGCTTGGCGTTCTCTGCCTTGTGCCTGGCAAAGAAGCAGTAGGACGAATCAAATTTTTGGTCGCGGTAGGTCGGATTAACTCTGTCAAGAAAGTTACCTCGGAAGAGACTACCTCCCGAGAACGTATCGACGTCGTAGTGTGATCGCTGTCGCCCGGAATGAAGAAAGTTGTGAAGTACGTGAATGTCTTGTAGACGGTGGATGGTAATAATCTAGTAGCTAATGTCGCTTTCTCTTTCACGTCTGAACCGGATTCGTGCTTATGTCCGTCAGATTGAAGATTATTTCGAGAGTCACCTTTGATACTGCGACCCTGAGGATCTCCTGGCACGATATCGTTAGGAATTTCATCGTCTAAAGTCGGTAGCACCGATTCGGTCGTTCCTAATACTCTCCTCGCGCTTTCTAAAATGTCCTTCAGTGTCGTCAAGACACTATCCGTTGTGCCTTTCAACGGAGTAGTCAGTTCATTCATCTCTTCCTCGCTAGTCGTGATGGTCGTCGGCGTGGTAGAAGGCAATCCTTCGACGGTGGTATCCTGATCATCGGATTCCGTTTCGGTTGTACCGTAGTCCACGGTAGTGTCATCAGTTCCATACGTTACAGTAGCATCATCCGGGAAGAAGTACACGTTCGAAGATGTGTGAATGATTTGCGCATAGTTTGTGCCGATATATGTGCCATAAATGTGGCTCTTATAATGAGTCGTAGTACCGTCCGACGAAGTAGTGGAATCGATGACTTTCAGAAGACCCGTCGGCTTCAACGATCCCGTTTCGACATCGGGCACCAGCAGTAATGGTTCCGTGGATCTCTTGGACGACTCGACATCGATTTCCTCGGTAACGCTTGGCTGAATGTTGCCGCGATTAATAGCGCTCAGAAGCTGATCGTCTGAGCCGTGCTTCCGGTCTCCCTCGTAGGGTCGATCGGTTCTCGCGTGTTCCATTACGGTGGTAGGCTGGATCTTTAATACTGCTACGCCGTCATCCGGACGAAGCGTGGCGTCGCCTTTGATCGTGGTAGCGGGACGGCCCATGGGCGCCGGCGACGTGCTCGGCGAAAAGATGATGACGGTATCGCCGACTGTGGTCGTGAAATCCGCGAAGCCATGGTAGGTCACCGTGGCGAGGGGCTTCAGATCCACCTTCCTCTGCGGCGGAGTTTTCACCTGCGGCTTAAAGATCTTCGGCACTCGCGGTCTGAAAGTCTTTGACTGCGCATCGTCGAGCGAATCAAAGTTGTTTGACACGTATTCATGTTTGACGGTATAAGTGGGCAGATTATCGGCTGGTCGAACCTTCGCCGGTTTAAATCTCTGCGTGTCCGCGCTCAGCTCTCTTTTATTGAATATGTCATTTTCTTTGGACAGATCGTCCAATTTCGAGGTAGTCCCGGTCTCCTTTTTATTTTCGCTCGATTCTGCGTTACTGTTGCTATTCAGCACTTCAATCTCTTCGATAGCTCTGATTGGCGCGTTATCAAGAGCCACGCGAAGCCGCCAATCATCTTCCGGTGCCCTCGAGGGATAAACGACGTAGGGACTCGACGGATCCGGCGCCGGCTCTTTATCGTAGAATACTCTGCTGGATGTAGATAGAATCCTCGCGTAGAGACGACCGTTGTCCAGAGTCGTACCCACAACCTGAGTGGCGAATTCGGTACTCGCGCCATCTTGCACAAATGTCCGTGCCGTTTTTGTCAATATTCCAAGTGGTGGTGCGGACTTTCCGGGACGTGCCGATACCAAGAGGACCGTGGTCACTCCTGGGTTGCCAAATCCGAAAGAAATATACGAGGAGCAATGTTAAAACGGCACAGAAACACGTCGCATCGATGCCAATGGAATCGTCGGAAACGAATGAACGAACGAAGAAATGGGGGGGGGGAAGCGATTTGCATCAGCAAAACGGGACACGAAGTTATCAAAATATGATTGAGTTGGAATCGAGCGCAAATGTGTGCAACGAATTCGATTCGTTCAATCGCATGTCACGTTTACAGACCCGTCCGTGTCGTAATCGTCGTACCGAGTATACGTCAGCGTCGTTTGTTACGTCGGTCGATGACGGTTCGCGTCGTAATATTTTTATTTTTATTTTTGTTATCGTAATGTAGGTCGTCGGAGAGACGGAGTGGCGGACGGACGTTGGAGGCAGACGGCATCCGTTGTTGAGAAGAGTTGAAGGCGGGGAGCAGACGGGAGCAGTAACAGAAACAGAAAAAAAGAGACAGACGATCTTAATAGACGAGCCTTCTTCTTTCGTAGTCTAGGACACCTGTTGTAACATTATCCGCGGTTCCCCCGCTTAATTTGCATCGCTACCCTACTTCTCGAAAAAACGCTGTTCCTTAAATAGAGAGTGAGGAAAAACTGGCATGCATACGAGGGAAAGAGAGAAAGACATTTAGCTAACAATAAGTTGCTTAAGATAGTTAAGTTGCTTATGTACAACCCCTGAGTCCTGAAAATTCTAAGATCAGGAACGTTGAGCGGTATTCGCCATAAAAGAGTGAGAATGGAAATGAGAATGAAAATATTTAAAATAATACATTCAAATATAAAATTGCGTTCTTTTTATTTTATTGTTTCATTATTTTTAAAGCATCGTTTATTAGATTGGCCATCGTTTATTAGAATTTTCATGACTTGGGGAGGGACAACTCGCAATCAATCGTACGACAGAACTTAAAGCCAGATACCACCGAAACGAGATGACATATACAATACATATTGTAGTCAACTCAGCGACAGGAAAATGTATTACTCGCTTGAGACACTTATTTACACGGCCGCACCTCGCGTCAACACGCACATGGATAATTGAGATACGCAAAATGATGTATCGTGAGAAGAGATAAGTTAAAGAACGCAGAGACAAAGAACAAAAGCGGAAAGACCATTCGATGTTACAGGCTTGCACTCAAACTTCATGGCACAGGAGCGTTAAATCGAAAGTATAAAAGATATTTTTGTCGAACGACCGTCGATGTTATTCGAAAAGGTGAATATTGAGTGCAAGCCTTATCTACGTGTATCGGTGTGATTCAGGTGTCGCATATGTGTCACGACTAGCATACACTTGTTAGCCACGTTAACATAAACATTTACGGAGAGACTTACCCTCTAGATCCCTTTCTATCCTGGGAGCTCTAACATTATTCGATAAAACTCCATCTGTAAGAAAAGAAAGGGGACATTTTTTAACGCACACGTCATTAACTAATTTATTTAATGTGCCTAATTTGCATGTGTGAGCGAAACGCAAGGTCGCTTCAATGCGTTTGACAGAGGAAGCGTGGGTGGTGAAAGGAAATTTATTGAAGGATGTTGTGATAGTAGGAGCTTCGTTTGGTCATCGTCATATTTCCTCGCGAAATAATTGCTATGCGTCATACGGAATGTCATCACGTTGACTTTTTTCATATTCGCAGAAATTTTTTCATGTCGCGACAGCGACTTCCGTTTTGATATTTTAAAATCGAGAGAGAGACAGAGATGGAAGTTTCCAAGTATTTGTAAGATTTTTTCGGGGTCCTCAAGGACTTAATTGCGCGTTTACTCGTAATCTACAGAAAAAAACGAGGAGAAACGGGAGACACGGAGAAAAAAAAAGCGAAGACGAATGTCTTCGTGTCTAGGAAAGTCTGTATGGGAATGGGCATAGAGAGGACTCCAGACGTCGGCGACACCGAAGATGTCGTCCGGAGAGGCCGAGACGTACAGTTATCTGACCGACTCCTTTTCTCGCGAAGAATATCTCTACGTCGTTTTCTTTCCCGCGTGCACGTGAGCGCCTGTGCACTTGCGCGTGCACGTGGCTGCGTATACACTGCGCATGTCGATAAGTAGCTATGAGTACCCTTCTATATTACAGTACACACGATTTGTAGCAGGTTGATCCACGTAAAGGGAAAAGAGTCAACGCATACAACAAATTCAATATATCGTGTATCATTCTTGGACGCTCTTTCACCGTTCGGAAATATTTGTCACGGAAACGTGTCCATTTTTGGAATGTTGAACCGTACGCCGCGATCAGCACCCAATGATCCAGTGACGTTGAACTCGCGGCGAATTGACCGGGGCAGGTGACATCCGGTTTATTCGACGACGAGCGTTTCTCGGTACCGCGGCAATCGGGACCGGCGTACCGAGGTCGTGCTCGTCCCCGGACACCATTGGGTCAGCTGGTCGACTTCGCGTCGCCCTTCTTTCCCTGGCGTCTGGCCTCCAGCCAACCGGGCCGTTTTGCGGCCCCCGACAAACCGGTCGTCGCGTCACGTTACCCAACAATCGGGTAACGATCGCGGCCGCGCTGACGTACGTGGGAGAGAGAATTCGTGTTCGACATCGTGCACCGCGTGCGCACGTTATTTCGACGCGACTTGAATCGCGTTATGAAATGCACCGGCGCGGCGTCGTGATTACGCCAATCCGCCGCCAATCAACTCATCATGCATTATTAAGTCCGAGATAAGATTTCGAACAAGTAGGATAAATTTGTTTGTGCATATACACAGGTTCCTTGACGAAGCTGTTACGCTACGTAACAGGGTTGTAGCGGAATCGTGAGTGAACGTTGAATAAGAATTGCGAAAACGTTCCGGATGGCAGTGTGTGACGTATCGACGGACCATTTCTGCTACTTTCGAGTTGCATGATTTCACGCATAATTTTCCCGCATAGTTTCCCGCGCTCGCACGATAGCGCTCGTAAGTTACAGCTTCTGGTATTCGAAGGCGCATTTTACTCGCGTTCGTAAGTCGGTAAGGAGATACGCGGGGCCCACCTGACGATCGACTTCCACGTACGCAGCTGCATAATCGTGGTTGCATAGGCGACGGCTACCTTGAGCTCGTTTTCTTGCGCGATACGCGAGCGAGGAGAAATCCTCCGAGGATTACGCTCGTTTCGTAAGAACAATTCGTCCATTCATGTCGCGCTATGTACGACCCGCGGCTAATGCCCGAAAGATTTTTCTCGCCGTAAGAACGATGATTGCTCCCGGGCAATCTCGGTGGCGTTTAACGGCGACGAACGACTGGTGTGTTGCGCCAACGAGATTCCACAATGATGGATAGGGTCGTCGGCATTCCGTGATAAAAAAACCATTGCAAATCCATAAATACGTTTGATCCTGCTACTTTCTAGGAGTTAGAACCTTACGATTAAAAATTGCGTTTTTACTTACGCAATTCAAGCGTCCTTTGAATCGGCAATTCTGGGATTACATTTGATCGCGAAAGTAAAATCAGCAATTTTGTTATTCAAAATAAATGAGAGCTGCTCCGTGAAAAGCTATTTAGCGGACTGTGCATTCAACGGTGGGTGTCCACGTTAACCCTGACTATACGTGTCGTAAGTTTTAAGTGTCTTGTGAGAGCGACGCGGATATCAAGGTAACGCAGTCGTCGACCAATGCAAGACAGACGATTTTAATCTCACTTTCAATAGTGGGCGACATCATGCATTACGTACCATACTTAGAACAATGGCGCTGTGATACGCAAGACGTGTAAGATAAAGAGATACAACGAAGATTAATGAGGATGTCTCAAAACATTTAGCGAAGACACCGTGATTGAGATTAGAAGTTGATTCCAAGCTAGATTATCTATTCCTCTTTTCATTAAAAAAAATTTTAAATTAACTTTGCGATGCGTGCGCCAGACAACGATGAATCACATTAACGTCTTCCTTACGTTTTCCGGTGCAAGCCCCTTCCCGAAAAGAGAGAACGATGAGGCAGCAAACGAATCGCATATGTAATTTGTCGAAATCTGATTTTGCCGCAGCGGCAGCTATGAATTAATTTCTCACGTTACGAGCAACAAGTTAACTGGCCGTGTAATAGTCGATGCGGCCATTCCGGAATGTGTTTGCTTTGAGTCGAGACGCGCGTTGAAACATGAGGTAAACCAAGAATAATGATGATTACTTTCGCTTGCTCAATGAGTTCTTGCAATCGACCGGCAATACCTACGACGTCTCGCGTCGGTACTTTCGTTCATCTTTATTTAATTGCATTCGCAAAAAGTGTCGAGAATTCGAATTTCACAGAGGGATGAGTCCCTTCTTGATGAAAACGCGTGAGCGATTAAAAGTCCAGTTACTCCGAAGCTTGTATCTCGCGAAATTTTCACAGAGGAGATGTTTCAATCGACTCACAACTCTGCGCGCTATTGTTTCGCGTTAATTGAGAACGTATCGATCTTCCACGCTAAATCTCGTAGGCAACATAAAATCTCGCGCTTCAGGCGCCACGGAACGGGTTCGAGAGAGAAAGCGTTCGATCGTGGGAACCGGTAACCGGTGGCACCAGCAGATACGATCTCGCGCAGATACGAATTCCTTAAATTATCACTTTGGCCGCACACTAACGCCTAATTTTACGGGTTCACGTGCACGTTTGAAGCGATATATTAGGCATGTTAAAATTGTTTCCGCTGTAATTAACGCTAATATTTCTCATACTCGTGACGCTTCTGACGCCTTTGCTCGAATGATCGGAATACCACGGGAAGTCGAAGCCCTCCGAAGAAACGTCCTCACGTACGTTTGAAGCGATATATTAGGCATATTAAAATTGTTTCCGCTGTAATTAACGCTGATATTTCTTATACTCGTGACGCTTCTGACGCCTTTGCTCGAACGATCGGAATACCACGGGAAGTCGAAGCCCTCCGAAAAAACTTACGGAAGCATTTGCGTAGTATAAATGCTGTTTCGGTATTCGTTGCAATCCCTGTCATGCGGAACGTCGCGTACACTTGTCGTTTAAGCGACAAGTCCATGGTGAGATTTGTGAGTTCAATATCCATCGGGTAGCTATGTCCAGCCAACCAACCGGAAAATGACAAGTTGCTTCCGCAATATCCGACGTCTTTCTTGCTCCTTCACGTCGTATAAATGTCTCTTGACATGGCTAACATGGGTCGCGCTCGTGCGAGCGTAAAAGAAAGTAAACCGACGGGCGAGAAAAGAAGTACATTCTTTGCGCGTTATTTACGTGCCTCACGGATCGATTATTTATTTTATTTAGCGAAACTACTTTGTTTTATAATCCGATAGAAAAAGGATACGGCTTGTTCGCTTAAAAAAATATATAAGTGTCTTTTTGTTCTTGATAATTATTTAACTCTTTGGAGGCACAGGAGTTTACAACAAACAAATGCTTTGTTGCACAGAAATGTTACGTAAAAAAATGTAACAAAATAGTTTTATATTTTAATTATTTGAAACACAAAATTACGCAACAAGTCTAAAGGTGGTATGAATAATGTCCCCTATACGCATTCGAGCACTGAAAAAGTGGGCGATTTTTTTATACTACTATGCCTCAAAGTGTTAAAAACTAATAATTAAATAGCCATTCTATCAACGCGTTTAGAAAAATTAAAGTATTCTTCGGTATATTAATTTTCTAAGAGAAAGAGGTAATGTCTATTTCTTGTATTCTCCCGTCTCTATGTCCGAAAATGCCAAATTTCCACTTGCTGATGCAATCGCGTCCTTTGATCAATGAAAAAAGGAACATATATATTTATATGGATATTGAGCTATCTTCCCGCTATCGCAAAAATGATGATAGAAACGAAGGCGAAAGACGGCTTCAGCGACGACTACTGGTAACGGTGTTGCTTGCTATTCCCATTTCCTATCTTCATCGAAACCGATAGATTCTATTTGATATCTCTGAAACGATCCGACCCGATAACGCGCAGAATGCAATGTCGACGACATCTAGTTCGCTATTCCATTTCTATCGTCTATTTTAAATTCTACACGTTCGTAATGTAAGGGTATCGATATCAAGAGAGACGCATGAGTCAATATTTATCACCTACCATGTAGATTCTTTAGATTCTTACTACTATTATTTTCATTTCTGCGCTTAGCATTCATTTAACGAAGCAATCACTTATGTCTGTTCAGTGACAGTTATGCCATAACGCCGTAGAAAATACATGGTTGTTAATTCTGATTGTAATACTAGGACAGAATTCTGTAACGATCAATCGATATTGCACATATGCTTACACGAGAGAATGGCCCTGGAAAAGACCTGCTAAACACGTTTCAACCTTAAGAGATAAAATAACGATGTTTCATCAGTTGCATGTGATAGACTACTTCGAACTACTATTTTTCATCTGTCACGTAATTTACAACAC